GAAAAGAGCAGCTTCTTCAGAGCGTTGGCGGGGGGATGGAACGTTATAGTAATGAATGTGGAGTTTCACACCAAAAATACTGTAATCCATGCTAGAACATTTGAATTTTCCGCTCCAAAGCATAAAGTGTCAATAAAGTATGTTGTTCTCGTCACGCAAAAGACAAGAAACAGATCCCCACCAAAGAAGTCCTATTGTATAGTGGTACAGTACTAGAGTTGTTTCTATCAGCCTAGCATGGGCTTGCAAGCCAACACTGAGCCATCAACATCGTGGCAAGTTGGAGTGAAAAGGCATCAATCTCAAGCAAGCGAAGCGGTGAAGTTGCTGTTGCAACTGTTCAACTGAGGAGTTCTTCTTCCCCCGATCCTTCATCCAATAATTCAAGCCCAAACCAAAGAGACAGCCAAAGAGTTTCCTGAGGACTCTATACGGCGCACAGAATGTGTTGCTGAAGCTGTCTAACTTGGACTTGGCCATGACAGGTTGGGAATGCGAGTGGGACACCCGCTACCAGCGCCACTATTACTTCAACCGGAAGACCCAGGCAGTTCGGGGGTGTGGACTTCTAACACAAGCTCGATAGAAAGGAAGGAATCACGCTGACTCCAGTCTGACCTTCGTGTCCTACTCGATTCTGGCCTAGTATGCCATCATTCCGCATCTTGAATGTCATCTGAGGTTTGCTGGGTCACAAACCCCACAGGTCTCGAACTCGACCAGAGCCCGGGCAGGAGCGGACATGGAAGCGGCCGCAGGCACGAGCCATTATGTTTGGCGAGCCATTGCCATGTCTCCCTATTCTCTTGGCGATAGTCATTTCCAAGCTCTCCAAGAAGCTGAATTGGTCTCTTGAAACTCTAGCAGACACAATGCCCAGAGGTGGGCCTTGCAAACCTTCGCTGATCCACTGGAGGGGGTGGAGTAGGCAGCCCTCCCCGATAGACATTCGGACCCAACTTTTGATTCGCCTAGGCCCCACAGTTTGGCCGTTGATGAAAAGATTAAGAATGGAACTGTCAATGAACTTCTTGTATGCTGTATATGATGTGATGTGCAGAGTGTAGTGTCGTAATTTTGGAAAGGCTGTTGTTACGTCAGCACTATCCACATTGGGAAATTGGCAGTATTGATGCAACATCAACAAGATAGCATGAGCTGTTTGTGGATGTACACCGCCGTCACACTGGCAAATGGCAAAGAACTTCGAGGTGGGGTGACGGGGTGCAACTATGTGCAACTTCATTTAGACAATGGACGGTTCGATGATTCATTGTTGAAGCAAGTTGCTCTTCGATTGGGCCAGGATCCAGTACCTGCACCCAGTTTGACACTTAATCCATCCTTAATCCAGAAGTGCCAAACCCTGTTCCACTATTTTCTAGTGCGGTGGTTGAAAGTGGCATCCACAACTGACTTGTTTGTCGTCTTGAGGTATGTCGTTCACAACTTAGGATATCATTGTATATGTTCATCCGAATTTGTCCTGAGAAATGTCACACAGTCAATGTCAGGAAACTGTTTTCAAGCTGTGTCTTTGTAAGCTGTGTCTTCGTAAGCTGTTTTCGTGTCTGCTTTGAGGTGAAACTGCAAAGCCCAAGAGCCAAGGATGTTGTTAGAGCTGACCAGATTAGCGTGGTCGCCATGATCATTTGACGGGGCCATGGTGACCTATGTGACCATAGTTCCTGCAAGTTCCCACTCAGCCAAAACCAGTGTGAAGGTTCGAGTAGTTTGAATCCACGGCAATCTGCTGGAATAGATCAATAGATCTGTGAATAATAAAGTGCATTTGCAAGGCGTGTCAAGGAAGTCTGAGGCATTATATCAGAACTTGGAAGAAGAGGGGACCAATGGCTGTGAGCCGCATGACTGTAGACTGTAGACTATAGATTCTATAGATCCCTTCTTGGCTAAAACATCTACACTGGGCAGGGTCTCAAAAACAGATCAGCTTGTTGGCAATGCGTTATCTGCGAGGAGATGCTCGGAATCCCTTCAACGCTCCAAAGGATGTCAGGGGCCTAGAGCATCTGAAGGGCTATGTTGTTTCGGTGGTATTTTGAATGATGCACTTTGGTTTTGAACCTTCGGGTTGGGTCGCTGGGTTCCACAGCAATGTGATGTTTGGTTGCTTGACAAGCGTTGTTGCCCGTGCCATGCGTCAAATACATTTGTACTGCATAAATCCACTTAATTGATTGACAGACTTACTTAGTGTGCCTTGCATGTGCAAGCAACATTCATCAGACGGTGGTTGCCACATTCACACGGAGTAAAACAATTGGATCTACGCATCCAGCTGTATGCTCACTGCGCAATGAAGGGAGTTTCTCCATTTTGTCTTCGATGAACAGTTGCAAAGAGATCATCTCCAAGCTTTAGCTGTGACACCGTTTTTTGTTCCACTTCTTAAACTCTCTTCAGTAGTTGCCAGACTGTTCAGGTCAGGCGTGTATATATTGCCTGAGTATGCAACTGGCCCAGCTTTAGGCTTTATGACAGGGATGGCTAAACATTGAATAAACAGCCGAGGCAAGTGCAACTGGTCAATCCCGTGATCCTGGCTTGAGTCTTGAGGATGTGGCTCACTACTCTTTGGTCCAGTCAATCTTAGCACAATGGGCTCCCCTTTTTTGAATCCCAATGGGTGTTCAAAGAGACAGGCTTGCCACATGGCTAATCTGTCACCCCCCAACATATTATAGCGAAGTTTGAGGGTTCGTTCTTGTATTCACCAATGAGTAGAAACAGAAGAACTGGCTATTATTAGAGCCACTTTCATATGATTTGATACGTGTCCAACGGATCTGAGTTTGGTTTGCATAGCCGTATTGCAATGTTTTAGTGAGAGTCGTTGGACTTAGGGCTTGTGCCAGGAGAAACTGGAGATTCTAGCAAGAAGAACGATTTGTTTGATTCCAATCTTTCAACTGTCATGGGTGCGCCCACCTCCTTGCAGTAATGCTTTCCCCAAAGGTCCTTTGGATAGCGATGTCTTGACGGGGCATCGAGGTCTGCGATAGGTAATCCTTTGTAGTTGCCGCGGTGAATTCCACCCTCTCTTTGTATCAGGCCTTGTAGTGTGCCAGGAAACATAGGTGTTCAACGAAGAGGAGCAGGCCTTCGTGGCGTTTTGCGCTTCAAGCAGTAGTGCTTCAAACATGTTGCCTTTGTGTGAAGCTTGATGTCCGAAGATCTAATATGTTTGGTTTGACTATCAGATGACTAGAGTATTCTTGAGAGTATGCAAGTTCGATCACAGTAGAAGTCGTTTTCTGCTTGCCGTCGGGCCCATCCAATGGGTTTGCTTGGAGCATATTCAGTTGTTTTTTGCGGTTTAGCCCTTTTTTTCGAATCAGATGTCGCATGTGCTGCCCGCTGGAGGCACAGAGTGGAATGCAGAGGAATTCAAGAAGCGCCTTGATCAGGTAGCCTGTCTTCCTTTTGCATCCTGTTTGCAACCTTTGCTAACCAGTGACTGGCGGCCTGAGTCCTTGGAAACCCACTGGCAAGAGTGAGTGATGGAAAGTAAATTGAGACATACAAAACCTTTAGCACAGAGACTCATGCAGTTTGCCCATCCTAGAGATCCCCGGAGTACCGTTCTTCCCTCACAACAAACCTTGGAAACTCCGATGAATAAGGACATTGAATCGACACGGCCTTTTCCTCCGGAGCCCCATTTGGGGTGCCAAGTGGGCCATGTGGTTCCCATTAAAGAAACGAAGCTACCAAAATCACAAAGCGGAAGAGCTTGGAAGGTGGAAATCTCCCCCCTCCTGTTTTGTTTCTGCCCCCGTCATTTTCCCGTCCGGGACAGGGGAACCAGGCTTTGCCGCATTGAAAAAAACATAAAATGGTCCTCTCTTGCTTCCTTCCATTGAAAATTCTGTTGTTTGCCAGCTTGTGCGATTGAGTGGGAAAACCACGGTCTTGTTGTCATTCTTCTGTGGATCGGATAGGGTAAGCATACAGGTCAGTGACCTTCAGTCAGCGACTCACTGTCACCAACATGGTTGGAGTGACGGATTTAGACGTTTGAGAGGTACTGGCCTTGAAACATGATGGCAATTGAATTGATCGGATTTTGCCTTGCCAGGCCAAACTCACCAAGGACAGGAACTACATCAAATCAATCTTAAAAGAGGTGGGCAATGGATAGCATTGATATTCCAGTCATGATACATTGATGGTTTGGTGGGAGTCCTGGCAGCCATTGCTGGCTTTCAACCAGGCTGCATTTTGTTAGAACTTACCTCCAGCCCGTGATCCTGACCATTTTTCGATACATTTCGATACGTACCTCAACCAACAGTACTCGTAGGAAAAGTTGTTTACACCTGAGACTTCCAAGCCAAGAGGTCAACGGCACGACCACAAGGTACCAGACCTCATTCTGTTAAGGTCTCAGATTGTCATGGAGAACAGTTTTACCCACGTCTTTTTCTTGGTGTACCTTCAACATTCAAGCTCGATTGAGTTAGACTTTGGTATCTCGTGCTATGTCATTCACTTTCAGGCTACATGCAGTGCAACACGCAAGTGCTTAAGGTTGGCATTGTTCGTGTGAAGCGGGCGCCTGTTTCCTGGTAATGTACCTTGTATGACGACGCAAGTAAGGCGTGCAGCGTGCACTTCTCCACTTGCTGAGCGTGTCCTGCGAAGATGTTCCTGTTTGCTTTCGATGCAGACATTGTGCCGCGTGACTGTCTGGCTAAACGATGATGAAATCCAAAGAGTTCAACAGGTTTGATGTGGGTTTGGAGCTCGCACGTCAAAGCTTGGTATGACAGCCAAGATTTCGAAAGGAAGCAAACGTCTTTTGCATGAGCCACAGATGCTGCTGGGCTGATGAGAATGGTCACAAGCTTGTTTCTCCAACTTCAGGAGGTGGTCTGTGGTGTAGTGTCAGTACCGGGGCAAGCACGCAGCAAAGTTGCGCCATGTAGTCCTCAAAGTCACTGGAGAACCTTGCAAGCATTCAGATGGGCCCGCGTTGGATCGAGAAGGCTTCATGAACAGTGACAGTCGTCTAGACGCCTTGGAGCATTCGTTAGTTGCACAATGTTGCACATTACAATACCGCCAACCATGAATCGCAAAGCAGGCAAAGAAATCGCCTCGCAGAACGAAGCCTTTGTTGTGTGCCTGAAGTGCGGCCGGCATTGGCGGTGGAAGGATTGCACTTCGAATTTGCCGTGGACTTGTTTGGTTTCACAACGCGCTTTTGCAGGTGTCTTCATTTGCCAAATATGTTTCCTAGAAATTCTTTCGGCTCATTTGCAAGCACCACCTCTTGGGACCTACGCGATTCCCAGAGCTTCCCTCTGCTAATACATCTTCGCAATCCACCCTTTCTGCCTCAACTTTAACTATTTTGCCGCAGCAATGGAGGGTTTCACAAACAACGCCACCCAGACTCAGACCCCTAATGGGGGTTCTCAGGTCGCATGTGGTCCTCAAGTGGGAAAGCCGATGTCAGGTGATAACTAATCCAGCATGAGCCAGCCGCCAGCCATTCCTTGTCGAAGTCCCATTGTGCAGGTGTCGGAGAACAACTACGCCCTTCGGAATCAGTGGCGGGTCCCCAGGACCGTACGAATCCTCGAAACCTGAAGTTGTGGGGTGTTTTTGATTTGGTACAGTAACTGTGGTGAATTATGTATATTTTTATTGTTGCTTTTTTTCTTTTGAGCCCTGTAGGTTGTTTTTGGATTACTTTTCGGAGCGGTTTTTGGCTGTTTGCTTTTTGATTTAGTGCCCTGTTGGCTTTTGGCTCATGTGGCCCACCAATCAAGTTCTTGCTTGGTATGAGTTTAATTTAGGGGGATGCACTGCACCATCCTGGCCACCCTTTCAGGGGCAAGGTTCAGAGGCCGGAGAAGTTTAAAGCAAGTTGTTCTTGTTTTGTCTCAGTTCCTGTTCACGTATGTTCACTTATCCTTGTCCAAGTATTGGATTGTCCCAATTAGATCTCACGCCGTGACCTTGATTTGTGGCTGCTGGGATTTGATTTGAGTGTTTTGAAGATACTCCTCTTGCGTTGCCTACGCTTGAAATCCATTATATATTATATAATTGGATTGCCAATCGGTGAGTGGCAGGACAGTGCTAGTACCCTTGGAGACATGTCCGAGCCTCACGCTTCACGAAAAGAACACTTGGCTTGCAAGCCGCACAAGCGTGCAAAGTGGAGTTCCAAGGGAGTGAGGTTTTTGCTTTTGGTACACCAAGATAAAAGGCACAAGTGAGTACAACGTCGATAGTCAGGAACGCGTAGGAAGACAACAGCATCACGACACTAGCATATTGAAAAAGTTCGATAAACCTCGACATAAGAGAGAGAGAGAGAGAGAGGGAGAGAGAGAACGTAAGTTTTCTCCCAACGACGGTGAAGACAAGGAAAACGGTCCAAGGACCCCTTGTAGGTTCTTTCCCTCGAGCAAACAGTCGAGTTGGATTGTTTTCGACCCCACAGAAACCCAACACTGTCAGTCCACTTGCACAGTTTTGGTTCGTAAAGCCAATTTGATGGTTCGGATGCGAAGAACTGATTCTGAAGCTTTGTCGTGCAAGAATGCAGTTGGACCCAAAGTGCTTGCTTCGGCCTCTGGCCATCACACACTAAGCTCCACCAGTTCTCCAAACGATGGCAAATAAAACCCCAACCAGAGTATAAATGACTGTGACTATGTACAAGGTATATAAATATACACGTGACAGTTTCCAGATCAATTAATCAATTGTTGATGTAGCTGCTAATATACATGCAACTATGAGTGACGACTCAGATTGAAGGGTCGACTTCCGGACTTCCCGAGGCCTGAATTCCAGGGTGTCCGGCATGGGCACCGACCCTGTGGTGCGCCAGTCTTCGGAATCCAGGGTCAATATGGGTTTTGAATTTGGTGGCTCGTTGTGGCTCGTCCAAAAGGAAGCTTTCCAGTCAGTGCCAAGACCAAAGAATGCGCAGAAAGCGTGAGCCTTCCGTTTGATGGGCTTGCCATCGCGGCATTGCATGCGACATGCCAGACAGCTCATCCATGGTCCACCATTGTCTTAAAAGTATCATAGGACGGTTAGGAGCCTCATTCCTGCTGAATGTGATTCAAAGGCCCAGAGTCCCAAATGCCTATCTTCAGCAGGAGTTCTTTTCTCTTGATTCTTTTGGGCTGTTTTTCTTTTTGTGCTTTGATGTGCTTTCAGGTTGCCCAGCATCTACTCCTTGGGCATCAGGATCTACAAAAGTAAGAACATGATCAAAAATAAAAAAGAACATGGTTTAAAAAAGAAAACACAGTATAGAAAAGTAATAATCTTGACAAGGTCCCCTGGTCCTTAGGTCCTCTGGTCCGCTGGTCCTTTGGTCCTCGCTGGTCCCCTGGTCCTTCGGTCTTTTGGTCCTTCGGTCTCCTCTGGTCCCCTTTGTACCTACCCGTACTAAATCCGCTACTTCTACTACTGCCCCTACTACAACTACAACCACCACTACTAACTACTTATTCTTCTTCTATTATTTCTACTACTACTACTTCTTTACAACTTTACTACTCTACTGCTTTACTACGTTACTACTACTACTACTACTACTACTACTACTACTACTACTACCCCCACTACTACTACTACTACTCCTCCTCCTGCTGCTCCTGCTGCTACTACTACACCTACTCCTACTCCTACTCCTGCTCCTGCTCCTACTCCTACTCCTACTCCTACTCTACTACTACTACTACTACTACTTCTACTTCTACTTCTACTTCTACGACTACTACTGCTATTACTACTAATACTACACTACTTTACTACTTTACCACAGCCACTTCCACTACCACTACCACCACCACCACCACCACCACTACTACTACTACTACTGCTACTGCTACTGCTACTCCTACTCCTACTCCTACTCCTACTCCCACTACTACTACTACTACTACCACCACTACTACTACCACTACCACTACCACTACTACTACTACTACTACCATTACTACTTTTGCTACCCCTCCAACTACTATTACTACCCCTCCAACTACTACTACCACCACCACTACTACTACTAACTATATACTAAGTACTAACTGGTAACTACGAACTACCAACTACTAACTACTAACTAATAGCTACTAGCTACTAACTACTACCATTGCTACTAACTACTCACAACTAACTACTATAGCACTAGTACTACCACCACCACCACGACTACTACTACTACTACTACTATGACCACGACCACGACCACGACCACGACCACGACCACCACTACTACGACCACCACTACTACGACCACCATTACTACTACTCCTACTCCTACTCCCCCGACTCCTACTACTACTGCTACCACCTGCTCGTACTCCAACTCCCACTACTACTACTACTACTTCTACTACACTACTTTACCACTTTATTATCCTACTCCTCCTCCTACTCCTACTCCTACTCTACCTCCACTACTACTACTACTACTACTACTACTACTACTACTATACGACTGTACTTCTTGCGTAACTACTGCTACTACGACTACTACGACGACTACTACGACTAATACTACTACTACTACTACTACTACTACCACTACACCACTTTAGTACTTACCACTACCACTACTACTACTACTACTACTACTACTACTTCCACTACTACGACTACTACTACTACTACCACTACTACTACTACTACCACTGCTACTACTACTACCACTACTAAGACTACTACTACCACCACTACTTTACTACCTCGCTACTTTACTACCACTGCTACAACTACCACTACTACTACTACTACTACTACTACTACTACTACTACTACTTCCACTACTACTACTACTACTACTACTACTACTTACTACTACTACTACTACCACTACTACTACCACTACTACTACTACTACTTACTACCTACTGCCTACTACCTACTACTTACTACCTCTTACTACCTACCACTACCTACTACTACTTACCACTACCTGCTACTACTACCAACTACTAGTTGACCACTACTACTACTACTACTACTACTACTACTAGTACTACTACTACCTACCTACCACTACCTGCTACTACTACCTACTACTAAGAGACTACTATTACTACGACTACGACTATTGCTACTACTACTTCCACTACAACTACTACCATTACTACCACTACTACTACTCCTCCTTCTCCGACTCCTACTACTACTGCTACCACCTACTCCAACTCCTACTACTACCACTACCACTACCACTACTACTACTACTACTACTACACGATTTTACTACTATTACTACTGCTGCTACTACTACTACCTACTACTACCTACTACTTACTACTACCTACTACTACCGACTACCACTACCACTACTACTACTACTGCTACTACTACTACTAACACCCCTCCAACTACTACTCCCACTACTACCACTACCACTACCACTACCACTACCACTACTACTACTACTACCACTACTACTACTACTACTAGTACTACCACCACTACTACTACTACTACTGCTACTGCTACTGCTACTGCGACTGCTACTGCTACGGCTACGGCTACTGCTACTGCTACTGCTACTACTACCGACTACTACTACCACTACTACCACCACTACGACTACTACTACTACTACTACTACCACAACCACCACTACAACCACTCCTCGTTTTCCCACTCCTACTCCTACTCTTACTCCTCCGACTCCTACTACCACTGTTACCACCTACTCGTACTCCAACTCCAACCCCTACTATTACTACTAATACCACTACTACTACCGCTACTACTACTACTACTACTACTGTGCCTTCCCCATTCTTTTTTCGAACCTATTTTTTGATCCTTTTTTTCTTTTTGAATCTTGAATATGTTTGATGCTGATTTTTCTATTTTCCCGAATGCGTAGTGAAGGGTTCTCGTTTAACATGGGGGTCTGGGGTTAGAGCTTTGTTCGCAAGCCGTTGTCTCAGCGTCCGCAACCGTTGTCAACCCTCCGCAACCGTTGGCAACCGTCCGCGGTAGGGCGCTAAGGCGCTGCCATTGGGGGAAGCTTTTGGAGAGGGTTTCGGATGAATGTTGGATGGCACTGATACAGTAGCCTCTGAATCGGAGTCCACATTGAGAATTTCAATTTGTTCTGCAGCAAGGCCATCTGGGCTGGCATCGCCGTCATTCCCACACTCGGAGGGAGTGGCGCATTCGGATCCAGATGATACGTTCATTATAACAGTTGTTTGAACCCAAACTTGCATAGCAACAAGGACAGTTCAAAGTCAGCACATACCACACATGAATCACCGCTCTATCAATTGTCAACAAGGGACGATGCGCTGGGAAAGCTTACGGTTCTTTTTCTCACAGAAGAAAAATCCGCTCGTATGTGGAATTCCGCTAGTTCCACGTTTGAGACACAGGACCCACTAATGACTGTCTGCGTCTTCCGCAGCCCAGTGTCACCCCAGCAGGAACATTAATGGCCTTAGCCTTAGCCTTCGCTTTGCCCTTAGCCTTTGGCGTGGGCGCAGCTGGTTTCGGAGGCGGGGCAGCCTTCGCCGCTTCCGCTTCCGCCAGCGGAGCTGCTGTTGGACCTGTTCCACACCCAACGCCAGCCCATTGCAAGTTCAAGGCACGACCCTGACGAGACCTTGCTCGACACAGACTGCGGCTCGAGACAATTGAAAGCAGCTGCAGAAGACGCGAGGCTCGAGACCCCCGAAAGCAGCTGCAGCTCGACCCTGACTGAAAACACGAGGCTCGAGACCCTGAAAGCAGCTGCAGCTCAACCACTGACTGAAAACACGACGAGGTTCGAGACCCTGAAAGCAGCTGCGACTTGACACTGACTGAAAACACGAGGCTTGAGACCTGAACGTGTCCAGTGTCATATCAATCAATGTCAAAAATGTTGCCAAAACAGTGGTTCAAAATGCAACAGAGCCTCGCTGAGGCCGTTTTTGCTGTCTCGTTAAATTTCTTAAAGCGTCTGTCTATAGCTTTTTGTGTGTTGAAAAATCGGCGCATCCACTCTGATTTTACTAGCATTGTCATTGTCCGCCTGGCCCAGGTAATCTTTTTGCCCAGGCTGCAGGCTGTCACAAGCACTCTGCCAGTGCAAGAATCGCATTTGCTATTCCAGGCTATCTGTCGCCTTCTCTCCCCTGAATTGCTCTGAGGGAGGCCACAAGGCATGCTCTAGGGAGAATGCCACACTGGTACTTGTCAAACTTCGGAGGCACTGACGCCCCAGAAGCCATGGCAACGCAATCAGTAAAGGGCAATCAATCAAAATGGCTGTCAGGACGGCTTGGCATTTTGAAGCCATTCCACATCGCAAGTGTGAACAAAGTGTGCACACAAATCACATTAACTTTCACTGACTGATCTGTCCAGTCCTATCTTTATACCCTTGTGTCAATGGTTGGCATTGGGTTGGGCCCAGGACTTTGCAAACGAGTCCTGGCGGCCAAAAACCGCCCAAGGCCCAAGCAAGGACCACAAAGCAGGGTCCTTCGGGGTCCTTGGCAAACCCATTAATATTGCCACTAATATGATTGTTGCGCCGCCCTGCTCCCCCCCTTTGCTTTAAGGCGACAGGATAGCGGATGATGACTGACAGGATGTCATGCGACAGACACAACGCCCAGCAAAATCGGTAAAATAATGGTGAAAATCGGTAAAATAGCAAAAAAAAAGCCTTATGTGATATATGTTTGCTTCTATAGTCTGTGGTGGACCGTGTGGCGGAATTACGTTCGTGATGTCACAGTGCCACTGGGGAGGGCGAAACACGCTGGTGTAAACGCGGCGTGTCGCTGGTGAGCAGGATGATTGGTGGTATCATGTGATGTGTTTGCTTCTAGTGTGTGGTCAGACTGTGTGGCGAAATTACGTTCGTGATGTCGCAGAGTCATGCGGATTTGCGCGGCCTTGGTGGGAAGTGCGTTTGCGTGGCGCCGTGCCACTGGGGAGCGCGAAACACGCTGGTGTAAAGTGTCGCTGGTGAGCGGGATGATTGGTGGTATCGTGTGATTTGTTTGCTTCCAGTGGGCGGCGGACCGTGTGGCGAAATTACGTTCGTCATGTCGCAGCGCCGTGCGGATTTGCGCGGCTTTGGTGGGAAGTGCGTTTGCCCGCCGTGCCACTGGGGAGCGCGAAACATGCTGGTGTAAACGCGGCGTGTCGCTGAGCGGGATGATTGCAATGGCGGTATCAGGTGGTACCTTTGCTTCTAGAGTGTGGCGGACCGTGTGGCGAAACTACGTCCCTGATGTCGCAGCGCCATGCGGATTTGTGAGGCCTTGCTGGAAAGTGCGTCTGCGTGGCGCCGTGCCACCGGGGGGCGAAACATGCGCGGCATGTCGCTGGTGAGCGACAAGAGCATCCCACAAGAGTGAACAAGAGTGTCCCAGAAGAGTGGCCCACAAGAATGTCCTACAAGAGTGTCTCACAAGAGTGCCCCACAAGAGTGTCCGACAAGAGTGTCCCATAAGAGTGACCCACAAGAGTGTCCTATAAGATTGTCCCACAAGAGTGTCCTACAAGAGTGCCCCGTAAGAGTGACCCACAAGAGTCTCCCACAAGAGTGTCCCGTAACAGTGTCCCACAAGAGTTTCCTACACGAGTGATCCACAAGAGTGGCCTACAAAAGTGCCCCACAAGAGTGCCCCACAAGAGTGGCCTACAAGAGTAATTATAATGTCACAAGAGTGTCCTACAAGAGTGTCCCACAAGAGTGTCCCACAAGAGTGTCCCACAAGAGTGTCCTACAAGAGTGTCCTGTAAGAGCGACCCACAAGAGCGTCCCACAAGACTGTCTCACAAAATTGTCCCACAAGAGTGTTCGACAAAAGTGTCCCATAAGAGTGACCCACAAGAGTGTCCTATAGGAGTGTCCCACAAGAGTGTCCTACAAGAGTGCCCCCTAAGAGTGTCCCACAAGAGTGTCCTATAGGAGTGTCCCACAAGACTGTCCTACAAGAGTGTCCCGTACAAGAGTGTCCCGTAGGAGTGTCCCACAAGAGTTTCATGCACGAGTGACCCACAAGAGCGTCCTACAAGAGTGTCCCAAAAGAGTCCCCGCAAGAGTTTCCTACAAGAGTGACCCTCAACAGTGTCCTACAAGAGTGTCCCACAAGAGCGTCCAGCAAGAGTGTCCCACAAGAGTGTCCTATAAGAGTGTCCAGTGTCCTACAAGAGTGTCCCACAAGAGTGTCCTACAAGAGTGTCCCACAAGAGTGTCCCACAAGAGTGTCCTACAAGAGTGTCATTTGGACATATGTAGTTTTTGGAACGTGCTTGCATTCGGGTTCGTGGGCTCCATTTTTTAAATGTGTCACCCTACTCCTTACTAGTGACACCTCAGCTTTGGTCAAGCTTGACCAATCCCCAACGAATGAGAATTTTGTTTGCGTTTAGCTTCAGCCAGTCCGGGAAGTTGCATAATGATCAATGATCAACAATGTACTATACCGCTTATCGTCTATACCAATCACATCCCAACAGGCACCGAGGGAAAAGGTGTGAACACACTCCTCTTGAAGACTTCGGATTAAGCATCCCGCCGCATCGCTTTGCAGGTGACATTTTCCAAGATGACCACCGCAGATGTGCCTTGATCAAACCTGATTTGTTAATGAGCGACAGGAGTGACAGGCTGGTGGTTTGCGGTTTGCCCTTGACAAGTCCACCTGTGCGGGCTTCGGGGAGGGCCTTTGTGTTTCCCAGACACAGACACGGATTTATTTTTTTGTGAATTTCCAGGGGGGTCCATGCACCGTGCATTTTCCCGATTGCTGCCCAATTTCACTGATTTACTAAAGCTCACCTAGGGAACTTTCTCGGATGTTTGCACCGCTGGCCGCACTGAGTCCCAGAACTTTCTCTCTAGGCGGATCGAAACCCTCTAGAAAGGCCTAGTGATGAGGGCCGCAGGGACATGTGCCCAGGCACTCATGTTCTTCTGCGAACGCAACCCCTCTCAGAAGGCGGGACGAAATTGAATGGAAAGATGGGAAAGGCTCAATCGTTTGGCAATATCTGCAACACCTGCAGAATGCTACATGTGTATCATAAGTTCTCTCATGTTTCGCTGGAAGAAACAAAAATGTCGGACAAGCATCGTCGAAGTCCACCATTAACATTGAAGACAAGGGTTCTGTGGTGTCCAAGTTCATGTTGAAAAGCCATGTTTGGGGGGGTACACTTTTTGGGTTTGCTTGGATCCAAGCAGTTCTGGGGCCGCTCTCGGAGGTGGTGGGGTTGAACTTTGCAAATGGCCAACATGTTGGAGGAGGCCAAGAGCAGATGAGCGAGCACAAGGGATAGCCTGGATGAGGTGGTTTGGGGTGTTCCAGCAGCTTGCACTGAACACTCACGCTACTTGGGCTCAAATGTGCCTTTGCGCATGTGTGTGTGTGTGTGCGCATGTTTGTCTTTCAAAATTGTGGTGTCCCAAGATCCGCAGAACTCTTTGCTATCAGTGCATGAGCTTTTCAGTTTCGTACTATCAAGAGTGGTGTACATTGATGCATTGAACATTCTAAACGCATCCACTGCAACCATTGCGAAGGCTACAAGAACGGAGCCATCGCACAAGAAGAGGCGGCATGTCATTGTGTCATACATTGACAAATCCCAGCAAACTGACGATTATATATAGTCAATATCATAGTTATATATATATATATATGTAGTCTATTGTTTCATACTCTCAGGGACTGTGTATATTCACAGCTATATTCCTTTTCTGATCAGATTCCCATGTTTATTTTTACACACAAAAAGCCTGAGTTGTCAGTTTCTGGAGGATATGAAGAACACTTGGATGTTGAAGCTTTTTAAGGATGGTGAAGACAAGAGCTTGAGATTCTGTTCTTGGAGACCCTCTCAAAAAAGAACACACAAGCAAAAAAAGATGAAAACGTTCCGCTGCGCTGCATCTTTTCCATCCCTTCTGCTGCTGGAAATACAGACTATAGAGGCTTGAGGTGACCAGGTGCATCTCGGCCAGGACCTTTGTCGCCGCATGCCCACTTTGTACACATCCCTCTACAACGCCAAGCGGGACACGAGACTTGTGCAGAGGGTAACATGTGTTGTGTACGCAAGTGAACTGGCGCCCAGCACACGATCATGTCATTGCTAGGGCCCCGTGGCAACTTGAGGAGGCATCTGCCTTGTGGATAGTGTTTGAGTGGCGGGAACTCATGCTCCACAAAGCCTCCTCACAAATCCATTCTTCAATCAGTCAACCTTTGCGACAGTTCTTCCTCCCAGGGAAAAGTAAATACAAATAGTAATTGTATATTTTATCGGGCAAAACAGACAGAGCCACCGATGTCTTTTGAGTGATGCACAAATGCAAGTAACTAATGTGGAAGAAGTTGTGCTCACCGCACTTTGTCAGATTGAGTGTTGACACTATTTCACAAGGAGTGACCTCTGATTCTGCCCCTTTCACGCTTGCATTGTCACAGGAGGGTTTATATCCCTTTGGCCCTTGCACCTGCAACGACCCAAAGTTGCCGGCCAAGTATTCCGACGCCTGGGATCCCAGATTTGTGTTTGGCTTCGCTTGTTCACTTGATGGCATGAATTGAGCAACACAATTATATATGCAATGACCAGCGTGTTCAGTTTGTGTTCAAGGGCCCATCACACTCTCATCAATGCTAAGCTAGAACTTTCTGACAAAAGACGCACCTGGAGGTCAGACGGTAAGCACAAGAACTAAAACTATGACCTATTGCAGGTGTAGACAACTCCACTGCCCTTTGTCTTGGTCCCACAACCTTTAGCATCAGAGAAAAAGAAGGCACAGTACACATCGTTTCAAGTATAGCACATTTGTTCGTCAGCATACAGACTCACTCGATAGGCGTTTTGTTTGAATCATTCCGTTGGATCCAGTTGGTATGTCAACGATGCTATTAGGTCTTGTGGACGCCGGAGGTCTGCATCGGGCGAGCCAGTGAGGCGATGCGATTGAATCATGTCGAAAATCACAACACCGTCCGCCATACTTTGACAAGGCAGACGGATGCCACTAGTGACAACAAAAATCACAAAGTATGACAGAAGCACACGAAGGATTAAGTGAAGGATTTATGAAGAAGCAACCAAATTTGGAGCCATATCCTCAATGGTCGGGAATGCTGATGAATCAATGAAGGTCCACGGTTTTCCACCTTCAATGTTGGGAGTAGCGATGTTAGTTTGAGAACAAGATTCCAGCAACTAAAGGGATGAGGCAGCTGACGACTGTCATAACTTGTTCAACGCTTCGACTGTTGAGTTGACAGACCATGCGTCAAACAAAGCTTACTCGACGATTGGGATTTGGTACCACGCGACACAAAACCCTGTCTGGTGTTTTCCCTTGAGCCAAATGTAAAGTGAGATGCCTTTGGTGTCAGGATTCTTCAAACGTGGGGGACCATCAAGTACTGGTGCTCAAATCCGCACTCCCCTGACAGCTTCGCTGGCATAGATGGGCACCGCATGGCCCTCCTTCACCAAAAAGAATGAGAGCTCTACCCACAGGCCTTTTCTGGGCAGGGTCCCCCGCCTCCAGTCTGAGTCTCCACGCATGCACTCCAACAACTGCACGTCGATTGGGGCTGATCCACGTTTTGGGTGGAATCTCTGGAATCTCTGAACCCGAGCCCATGTTGGTGTCTGTCACACCAGCCAGATCTCATACTTGGCCATGAGAATAAAATCGCTCCTTGAGAAGGGCGATGAAGCGTGGCTTCGTGTGGCTTCGTCCTCCAGGAGTCGCTGGATCTTGTCATAGACCGTGTTGTTCCACCAAATGGACTGCTGAATGGTGGCCCCTTCCACCCTATGAGGAACTTGTGCCTGGGTGGCGGAGGCATCAAAAGGCATGCCCCGTCAAGAAAGACTAGCAGCTAGCACCGTGCCCACTGTCTCTCCCTTGTATTATTTGATGGCGTGGATGCAGTTCCCGCCTTGGATACCCCGCTCAAAACCAAACCAGCCGTCTTTGAAGTCACCGCCATCGCCGTTCCACGCCGTTCCCATAGATTGGGGGTGCTCCGAACACATGAACCGCTGCCAGGAGGCCTTCGCGGCAATGGTCTTGATGAGGTCCGCAATCCATTTAGAGCCTTCTAGCTGGAAACGTCTTCCAGGTTTTCGAAGTAGCTTGAAGCCGAAGACGTCGGGTCCGCCATGTCAATACGTTGGGTGATGGCAATGGCCGCTTGGAGACCCCGTAGGTCCCCACCTCCGCAGCATCGCCGTTGATCTACCCGCCGTGGACAGAGACTGCGCTGCTTGCAGCATTCCCATCCTTGACACTCTTCTGCATGGGGGCGCCCCCAACAGCAGCAATCGACCCTTTGTTAGAATGCGGACGACCATGCGTGATACCAGCATTGTCACCTCGCGCCCACTCCCTCCAGCTCTGCTCACGCGTGACTCCCAGCATTGTCACCTCGCGCCCACTCCCTCCAGCTCCTTCCGCTCCTCAGCCTTCTCCCCGCAAAAAAGCGCAGCGCGCCACCACCTTTTGCCTCCATCTTTTTCACCAGTTCAAAAGGCTGTTGCGATCTGGGTCGCCGTGTCTCTCTCTCTCTCTCTCCGCCAGAAGATCATTTGGCAAGCGAGGGAAATGAGACTGCCACCACTCCATCACCCCCCGATCCACTTCTTCACGCCATCCATCACCCCCGATCCACTTTTTCCTTCTGCTTCTTCTGCTTCTTCACCAAATCCTGTATCTTGGACCTTTTCTCGAATGTTCTCGATGTCGTGGATCTGGATGCGCGCGTAACTTGGTCCAGACCCTGCCATGGGCAGCTCCACAGTCACGATGTCGCCACATCCAACTCACCGCCTGAACTCACCTGCAGACGCGTCGCGCCATCGACTTGTCTCTATACTCACAGAACTCATACCTGTCGCCGGTCGCCGTGGTCCCCCCCCGCCTGTGCGGCTCGTGTCCCCGCGTTGACCAACAGGTCGGGCCGGTGCTCAAGCTAGGGTTCTTTCAGAAATGGTTCATGTTTCCAGACCTAAGTGCACGCTAGTGACTCCCCTCACGAAGAATTTCATCTCCATCCCCGCGTGACTTACCCCGTCGCTCCCGTGCGCCAAGTCCGGTCGCGCAGCCACTTGCATAGCGGGACTTCAGTGGCCACAGTCCCAAGCCCGCGAGGCCACCATCCCAGATGCAATGCCTCAAGCCGCCGCGCCATCCGGACAGCGCCGCTCAAGATCGTCGAGCAAAGCCAAGCGTGGGGAGACGGGACGCCGCCCAGAAGCGCACAAAGTCATTCCCAAGCATCAAGAAAAGGGTTTCCAACGCAACCACGTCCAGCGCTACCAGACAGTGGGCGGTCGAAGGTGCGCTGGCTGCATGAGGCACTTGTCGAGATGGTGGCGGCTTGGGGTGCGTTGGGACTGTGGGCACTAAAGTCCCGCTATGCAAGTGGTGCTTGGCGGCATGTGCACCTTGGAGGGCCGCCAGGCAAGGGCACAATTTTCCCCCTGCCAACGAGTTTGAGAACAAGATTCGTAACTAGAGGGATGAGGCAACTGGCGCGCGTTGTAATTTTTTCAACGTGTTGAGTTGACGTACCATGCGTATCCATGCGTCAGAGCGCACTGGACATTTGGGATTTAGTACAGCTCAACCAGAAATTGGACAGGACATGGCCATTCCCTGCTAAGCTGTATGTTTCGTTGTCTGTCAGAGTTTGAATACACCCCATCTTGCCGCTTGCAGTCATTGGGATACGGCTTGCTTGACAAGAAGCAGCAGGCTGGGTGGGATATACTGCGGCTTCTCTGAGCAACACCATGTCTTTCTGTAAGGGCTCGGACAGCCAAGCACATCGCCTCCAAATTTTGTGTTTGTTGCTGTTTGGATTTGCACGCAACAGACTGAGGTGCCTGCACTGGGTTGTGTAGATCCACCCGTTGACCATGATAACGAAAAATGACCCACAACACAGGGTCGATACAGGTCAGAACTCACATCATTGGGACGCGAAGAGCATTCCAAAGTAACCAACAATGTCAAGCGGCTCCACCCTTTAGCTGCAGGAACATGGAATTCGACATGAACCACCAACTGAAATTGAAAAGTATGAACGTTGAGGCACCAACGACAGTGCGACACTGGCATTAGTTCAATTGCTTTGCATGAACAAATTTGACCTGCCCAATTTGGAAAATGCCGACTCGCCCCTTAAGGTGTCGGTCTCCTTGGTTGCAGCTGCCGCCCCGTGCGCAACCCAAATGAAGCAGTTGCATGCAGTTGCCAGGATGTGTTTCATGTCATTCTCAGCGGCCACTGTCCGCCACGGCGCATGCTTTCCAGTCCGAAGTAAAGATTGTTCCACTTGACATGTGATATGTGCGAGATACTAAAATCATGGTTGGTTTGTTGCCGGGTGTGCACCTGCTGTGGAAATTGTTTTTTGGATTCCATGCTGAGATCAAGTCGTCTCACCTCCTTGTTGACTCAAATGAAGTCGTCACACGTCATTGCTGGGCTCTCACGTTCGATCATGTCTCAGGTTGTAAAACAAAGGCAAAAGTTTCATTCCTTTTCTTAGCGCTAGCTACTTCAGCAACCAAGGGCCAGAACACTGTCCCATTCACACTCATTCTGAGAGCAGCTAGCAAAAAGGAAAGCAGAACACCATTCAGCTATTGACTGTGCTTTAGATCAACGACCCCTCTTACAAAAACCATGTCGGGTATTCTACACAGAGTGCATTACTGTAGACGCCGAGCGTGTCGAAGGAAAAGTCGGATCTGGGAGGGTTTTCCAAATCTTCCTAGTCCCAAAATGGCCTTCGGGTTGCACCACCTGTACCCATCACTTGCATCAGGAGATCTCCTACCGGCAAGGGTATACAAGGAAAACATGGACTGCTGTCGGCAGATTCCAAACTATCAGTTCTTGCGTGCTGGATGCACACTCGTGCACAGGGAATGAGCATACTTACTTCTCCCACAACATAAGCATTGACCTTCCTACAACCAAAGATATCCTGCTCAGCGAGTTGGGTGACTGAGGAACCTCAAGTTCGCTGACCCACCAGAGCCATACGACAAAAGCCTCATGCTGGGCTCCCAGTCTACCCACAGTGGTACCTTCGGGCTTCAGAATCATACATGAACATGAGAATCCTGTTGAAATACATCACCTAAAGCTAAGATTTTACGCACCATGCCAATTCTTGGCTCAAGCACGCAGCTCATCGCGACAAAAAGGAGCGCTAGCAGTTGCAGCTTAGCGGAATTTGACTGTATTTTTGTGGTTGAGCCTGAAAATACAGGTTATCAGCCGTAGCCTCTGCCATGGCTACAGACGATGGTGTGAATGCCGCGCTCGCCCTCATCCCATACGCCGGCGATGCTACACAGGCCGCCGGGGGCAACCTCGTGCCCGAAGACGTTGTCATGGGATCTGAAGGCGTCACGGCATATTTCCAGTTTATTCAAGAACAATGTTCACCAGATTGCCTCAGGAAATGAGGAAGCCGTTCGCTTCGAAGCAGAGCAAAGGCATCGAGAGATCACGCAACCAACGATTCAAGCCTTAGGCTCGCAATGTAGGATTGCAATCGATCAGGCAAGGGAAGTCTGCAACAAGCAGATTCTGGCCATGCAAGGTCGGATCAACTTACTAGAAGGACAGTTGGCTGAAAGTCAGGCCAAGGTCGCTAGTGCAGACAGCCTACATCAAAAGAGAATGTCGGAGCAGAAGGCAGAAGCAGAGAAACTTCACATACAGAAGATGAACGATAAGATGAGGGAGCTGGAATCTATGTTCGAGAAGATGGTAGAGGATGCATCTAACAAAGCTAGAGCACTCCTTGAAGAAGAACGTAGGCAACACCAAAGTATGGAGACCGAGTGGGCTGAGCAGAAAGAACGTCTTGAACAGGAATTGCAAAAGGCATCAGAGACTAATGCATTACTGCAAGACCAACTCGATGGACTGATCCCAGGGCATGAAGCTGAAGCGCCGCAACACCTGCCTGGTACGGCAACACCAGTGCTGTCCGAGCCAGCAGGCCGCGAGGCTTTGCCCCAACCGATAGAGATCGACTGGAAGGCGAGGCTAGATGCAAAGTTTGCCCAGAAACTTGGTGATTTCTATCATGGGAGTGACTGCAACAGCACCACTCCCTGCAGCGTTGGAGCCTGCCCAAGGCAAGGACGAACAATTCGTCGATGCTCGTGAAACGGCCGACGAACGTATGTCTCACGTTGGCGATGGAGGAGTCGATGGCAAAGTCCCGGCTTCTTCAGGCGATGCCAACGCGCTGATGAGTGGTCTCGCGGAACTACTCAGAGAAATGAAGTCCAAGAAAGACGATGAAGGCAAGCCAAGGGTCAAAGAAGCCGATGCGATTGCCATACCGGACATGCCCACACCCGAGACTTACCGCCAATGGAAGAATTTGGTCCGTGAGCTCGTTCGATCGTCGTCTGACAAGCCCGATGAAGCATGGGAGTGGATCATGGAGGTTTGGGATCCGAAACCCTCCCGTGTTGAACTCGAGGCAAAGCTCCAAAACCCAGGAAAGTTCGTGACCTTGGACACGAAGCTCACCGCTGCTCTCACCAAGTCAGCCCGCGGCGACCTGGGAAATAGAATCCTTAACCATAAGGAAGAGCAAGCGAAGAAGGGAAATCAAACCAGAGGTCGAACAGTACTTCTCATGTTTGATGACTACTTCAAAACGTCTGAGGAGGCAGGTACTCTCTACTCACTAGAAGACCTATTTAAGGTAGCGAAGTTTGGAGATACAATTGCTGACCTCAAGAAATTCATCAATCGCTGGGATGCTGTGTTGGCCGGTATGAAGAAGGAGCCCGAAGAAACAGTCCTTCGTGATGTTTTGCTCCGTCAGATCCGTCCCAGCACGCTACTCAAGTATGACATTGACACCTATGATCGGGCAAAGGAAGGTGACCCAAGTAAAACGTATTCGTTCCTTGTGAAAGCCATCCGAGACCTGATCGATCGCGAAAGGCTTAGGGAGAATCGAGATCGAATTGTCGACAAGAATCAACCAAAGCCGAACAATCCCAAAGACAGGGCAGGATTACCCGTGGTGCCCCCAGCCAAGAGGGAGAAAACGCCCCCAAGGGGAAGAACTCCCGACAAAAAGAAGATTCCATGTGGGGACCTCGTGAAAGGGAAGTGCGCAAAGGGAAAGGATTGCCCATACCGTCATGACAAGAAGGAGAGATCACCTTCAAGACAAAGGACACCTCGTGTGCCCAGTCGTGACCCGAAGAAAAAGCTCAACAAAGAGGAAATGGCAAAGACTCTCTACTTTGCACGAGGGGATTGCCGCCGTGGGGACAAGTGTCTGTACCTGCATGAAAAGAAGAGTGCAGCTGCTCCGAAGGACCCAGCTCGGCCGAATTCTCCGAAGCCCAAGAAGGAGCCAAAGCCGAAAAAGTCGGCTACTCCCTGTGTTCGATCAAGCTATGCATGCAGCGCTACTCGCCGCAAGCTCGGTTCGTATCGTAGCCCAGCAAAAGAAGGGGCAGCACAGTATGAGAAACATGTTACCTTCGGTAAAAGGGTAGGAGTAAAGAAGATAAATGCTCTTGGTCGATGCAACCCAGTCGTTCACGGTCCTAGGAAGTATGACGATGTCCTCACTACTGCCGAAGCAGCAAAGAAGTCGGACCCAATCCATGTGTTGATGAATGCCAAAACGGCAGCCAGAAAATTGCAAGAAGCTGCGAAGCAGTTCGGAAATCCGGTTCAACCATCATGTGGTTTCAATTGTGTTGATGACCTTGAAAGTCTGACTTGCAAGTGTTGTAGGAATCTGCTAGCACCATGCAAGATCAACATTGCGTTGATGCCACCAACCGTCGCCACGCCTGCGCCAAAAGGTCGCCATCAATGGCTCATCGACTCTGGAAGCGAGCAGGACCTGATTAGCGAGTCCATGTTGTCCCAAGTCGGAGCTTACAATAGGCGTAGCACGGAACAACCGATCAGCTTCATCACAGCGAATGGTTCAACACAGTCTAATGCAGTTGCTGAAATCGATCTCAACACACTGCCAGGGTCCATCACTCCTTACATATTAGAGCAAACACCGTCGGTCCTTTCGGTTGGCACAAGATGCATGGATCAGGGGTACAGCTTCGTTTGGCCGGCAGGGTCGTCACCGTTCCTCGTTCGTCCAGATGGAAAAGCAGTCGTCCTGAAAGTTGATGGTCATGTTCCCATTTTGGATGATTCATGTCCAGTTGTCAGCACAAAGTCTTTTAAGCCAGCCAAGGTTCGCAAGCTTTTAGCTTTGCCCGGCGTTTCCAAGCCTATCAGGGACGAAGAAGAGGGAATCGATGAAGGTGTGAATCCAGATGACGAGGAGGTAGTAGCGGTGAGGAGCAGAAAGTCAGCCGACCTCATCGTCGAAGCCCAGTCGTCCAAGCACCAATTTCTTCACTTCCCAAAGAACCCATTCTGCCGCACGGGCCAAAGGGCGCGTATGCTTGCACCGTATGCTAGGTCCAAGGGCGGACAAGCAAGGGTTGACACAACTCGATTCGGAGACCATATCATTGCCGATCACGTGCTTATCAGAGCAAACGTAGAAGAAGGCATGAAAGGTGAGAAGGTCGCGTTGGTCATCAAAGACATACACACGCAGTTCCGGTATGTGTACCCAAGCCAGTCTCGATTCGCTGAAGATTGCACCTTTGCCATCAACCACTTTGTCAACGGAAAAGATGATGTTGAGGTGATCTACACGGATAATAGTCGGGAACTGAAGGCCGCTATTAAGGAACTTGGCTATAGGCATCAAACGTCAATAGAGTACGTGGACTCTAGCAAATCGTTCGTGGAACGCGAAATACAACAAATGCTGGAGGGGGCTCGGTCCAACCTTGCGGAAGCAGGGATGCCTTTGTGCATGTGGCCGATGGCGATGCAGCATTTTGCCATAGCCGTCAATGCTAACCCGCAGTTGTCAGGGGGGGACAGTCCATGGTCGTTGAGGTTCGGTACGGAGTTCGACGGGATGTGCATTCCTTTCGGTGCCAAAGTGTTATTCTGGAACAACCCTGATAGGGCAGACAACACTGCAGGCAAGCTTTCACCAACCTCGAATGAAGGAGTATTTCTAGGGTATCACATTCAGCCAGGTTTTGTGTGGAGAGGGGAGTATCTTGTCACGAAGCTTGAAGCCATCGACTATCATTTGGAGCATGGCAGCGTTGTCATTCAACGCACCAAGCGATTGGAGTTGCCCTCTGAAACCCATGTGTTTCCGCTGAAAGCAAAAGCAGACAGCCTTGAGCCACCTCCAGAGCCAATTGCTGATCGTGTGATCCCTCCTGTACCTGATCCGATCATTCCACAACAATCTGATTTGGAGTACACACCATCCATCGCGCCTGACCCCGTAGTGGAATCTGCCCAGGAGAAGGAGCCGCCAGTTGACGTCGAGATGAAGAAGTCCAGTGCTGAGCCTCGCGAACCTGGGGAGACTATGCCCGACGGGTCGATCGTGCCGGATGGTTACCACTATGACGGAGTAAGGCTTGTAAAGACCTACAAAGGTTCGAAGCGGCCACGAAGCATCCCTTCGGAACTCTGGAAAATGATGGGTCCAAGACAAAGGGAAAAAGCAATTCGTGAGGAAGAACAAAAGACAGATGAAGGAGTCACCAGTTCCTCATCAAAAGCCGCATCGACGCTCCAGTCATCTGGTAGCCAATGGGAGGTGCTCCCAGCAAGAAAGAAGGTATTGATGGATGAGTCGTTCGCAGTTCCCTGCATGCCCAGAACCAGGGGGGCCGTCAATGAAGCCCACCGACAGCCTATCCGGCAGATGCTTGAACAACATATCAAGCGCCTCGAATTCAAGCAGGATATCGAGATGTGGGCAGCAGTGGCGAGGCTCGTTTCCAAAGAAGAAGTTGCAAGAACACCAAAAGCAAAAGAAGCACTTGATCTCGAATGGAACAAGCTTAGAACGAAAGGTGTATGGGATGAGAAGCTCGTCCGTGAACTTCACAAGATTGTTCAGGAGGCCCGAAGAAAGGGAGAGAAGGTTCATCTGGGTAGGATATTCGAGGCCTGCTATGAAAAAGGTTCAGAATTACCAGAGAACGATCCCAGAAGAAAATTCAAAGGGAGAACAGTATTCCAGGGCAACAATGTGAGGGACGAGAACTCAGACCACGCACTATTCGCTGAGCTCGGCTCAAGCCCCGCCTCGATGGAGGCTGCCAAGATTTTGGATGCCTTCGGTTGCCAACCAGGGTATGGGAAAGAGCAAGCAGATGCAATTCAAGCGTATGTTCAAGCAACCTTCAATGGAATCCCAACGTGGCTTGAGCTACCTCGTAACCGGTGGCCAAAGGATTGGGAAGAGAAATATTGGAAACCCATGGTATGTGGGGCAAACCTAGTCAGTGGCACGATCGTGTGTCCTGCATGCAACACAAACATCACTGGCACATCTGAGGTGAAGCGTGGCATCCTCGCGAAGAGAAAGGAGCTGCTCAACAAGCTTGGCTACAAGTACCTTGATGCTGACACCATCGAGAGAATCGGCAGTCAAAGCAAGCAGTTCCGCGAGGAATCTGCCCGAGGTAATCGAAGCCCTGAAGGCGATTACATCGGAACAGCAAGACAGCAGTTGAAGAGAGCCATCGGCCTGGGATATACTTCGATGGCTGACCGCTATGAGAACGACGTGCAGTTCGTGGAGCGGATGACCGAGCACAACGTTACATTGCTCGACATCCAATTGCGAGGCATAGTGGCACACGGTCATCTTCCCATGCCACCACGCACCCGTTCTCAGGTTGATCTCGGAGTGGGAATGCGAACCGCAAACGACCTGGACTTCGCGAAATTGATGTATGTGGATGAAGATATCGCGGACATTACCAGCAGCGACCCAGGTCTCTTGGAACGCTTTGAACACTCTCACTGGGTGATCATCTGGAAGCGTGAGCTCTATTCCCTCAAGGAATTCCAGGACCTCTGCGATCACCGCAAGACCCGTGGCAAAGGCACCAACCTATTGACCTTTACCTGTGTCATGGAAATCGTCGAGGTACCATCATTGAGAGAGCTTCACGAAACCATTGACAGCTCCTTACCGGTTGCTCAACAGCTTGTGCAAAACAAGCGTCAGCAGAGCGAACGGGCGGCTGAGAGAAATGCAGCCAAAGGTCGTGGAAAGGCTAGCAGAGCCCATGTCGCTGCCTCAGTCAGCAGAGCTCATACCGCTGCGCCAAAGACTCCACCAAAGGCCGCACCAAGCCAGAGGGTCGCCCCAACAGCCGAACCGGAAGGTGAAAGCTCACCGAGCGCTGGCTACAATACGATTGGCACGATTGACATTCGCCAGATGCCTACGGCAAAATTCCCACCAAGTCCACCGACTACCTTGCAGCGCCCACCTGCACCAAAGACGCCACCGATCCCTTCACCAGCATCTACCACAACATCGAAGTCCGTGCCTGTGAGAGATGCAAAAGAGAGGGAGCTCTCCGCACAGCTCGCGCTGATGCCCGAGAGTATCGAGATGGCGATCGCTGGGGGTACTACACCTTCTACCAAGGGCAGTGGTGGACTCGCGACTACTATGGACGGTGGTCAACTGGGAACTGGCGATCCTACTAAATTCGAGCTGCATGCATGCATTTGAAGCGTGTGCCATAGAGTGATCTTTAAAAGAAGATCCACGCTGGCATCACGGCTTAGCCCGATCATAGCTGCTAATTCGCGCGTCGCTTGCGAAAGCAGAGGGGGGTGTTGAAATACATCACCTAAAGCTAAGCTTTTACGCACCATGCCAATTCTTGGCTCAAGCACGCAGCTCATCGCGACAAAAAGGAGCGCTAGCAGTTGCAGCTTAGCGGAATTTGACTGTATTTTAGTGGTTGAGCCTGAAAATACAAATCCTATCATGGTTTATGTTGGATCTTGATAAGTCAATACCCGCTCAAGCATGCTCAAGCAATTGAGGGAGGGCCAGTGGCTACTGTAGAGTTTCCCGAGGATGTTTGGTCCAGGAACTGCCCTTCAGGAGGAAACCTTCGTCTATAGTGTCCATTTGAGTTCCTCCGTGTCAACCGAAGGAAAGAAGGAAAGCAAAAAGGGTATGCAGTATTGATGAATTTCTCGGGTGACACACAAGGAAGTTATGTAAAATGCAAATGAATAGGAATCTCAGTCAGTCAGTGGTTCCGTGGTGAATTCTATCCTATTCGCCCTTGAAAGAATTGTATTTGGCACAAAAGAAGTAGCTGGATCAGCTCAAAGTCCCAAGACCAAAGATTGACAAGCGCAGGAAAGAAGGGAAGCACAAGGAAAACCCAAGGACACTACACCAGCTTTGAACCTCAAACGGGTGAAAGTAAAAACGATGTTTTTTATAAGTGTGCGAGTGAAACAAATGAGACATACCTTATTCGTGAGATCCCTGCCAACATGTGTTTTGTTTGCAAAACAGTAAGGAGTTGACAAGTGTATTCTTTGCCCACGGTGTGGGGATGCAAGAAAGGTATCATGTCGTGACAGTCACCTAGTCATGGGACCAGTGGCCTGGTTTGGAAACAAATGGAAGGACTCGAGTCTTTTCTGCGTGGCAAATGCTGCATCTATGCAAGAATTGAGAGCCCGCACAGCTTTTTCGTTTGGCAAACAAAAATGGAGACAAGCAACGAATCATGGTGTGACAGCCTCGTTCTGCACAAGAATGGAGGAATGGAGTTCCCCAACACCTTTCCATTGTTGGGTGAACCAATTGGAAATCAAGAGGGGCCTCACGGGTGTGTTGATCCCCACAGTTTCATCCGACTTTGGGATCTAGCTTTAATAGAAAGGTGTCTAGTCGAAGAGTTTTGCAAACGGGTTGGAACACTGATGCTTTACGAGCAGTCCCAAAACAAGGACGAGAAAGACACAGCAGCCAAAAAAAATGTAGGAAGAGTAATCTATTTGTCTAATGGTCTAACTAGGGATTTGAAACTGTTTCAAGTTCCATAACACTTGACTACTCCCAATCCAACATTCAGGATGAACATTGAAAAGGTGCTTGGTTTGTAATCACCAATGGTAACAATGATGAGATCTGAGCATTGCAATTCCTCCAAGCAAGAAAGTTGACTACAGTATGCAGAATACGGTTGCAAAGTAGGAACCATTTTGCCAAGGCAAAACACAATGAAGGCCATCCTTTTGGCTCCTCTCATTAAACAGCCCGATGCTTGGAGCCCCAGGGCGAGCGTGCAAGGTTCCGGCTGTAGCTCGACCTGCTGTTGCATTGGCAATGATAATGTGTGAATTTTTCCAGGATCAGTTTGAACTAACTAATCCCACAAAGTGTTCCAAATCTCTGAAGTTTGTGGGTATCCTGCCCCGGAATGGAGACATGGCACAGGTACAGCAATTCCACCAAGGCCACCAGCCACCCCCCTCAAACAGCTCCAGCTCAACCCACCGCAGACGAGCACCATTGTTTTGGGAGCTTGGGGCTGTGGTGCCTTTGGCTGCGCACCTTTGTCTGCAGTGGGAGTTTGTGTTGCAAGAACTGCAAGAAGGGTGAAGTGCCGTGGAGTGCTAGTGGGGTGATGTGGTCAGCAAATGCAAATGCCAGCTGCAATCGAACCTATTTGCCAAGCCCACGACAAAACAACTATTTGCTACTGCAGCTTCTTCAAGTGGTCATGTTTTCCCATTTGCGCGCTTGTGTTCCTGTCTTTGGGATACCTCATAAGATGTGCATGGACGGTGGTCCAGCTCGAATCAAGACCCACCTTTGTTTACCGACTAAGAGAAAATGCTGTGCACTGTCACAGAGACTTAACCCTTCTTTGACATAGCATTTTTGGCCCCAGACTGTCGTCATAAGCATGGAGGCGCGAGAATGTCGGATTGGTCTATGAAATGGTTTGTCACACACACACACAAAATAAAAACTACTAATAACAGGGATATAATATACATATATATATATATATGTAAGAAAGCAGCACAATCAAGTTGCCGAACGCACAGATTGAACCTCACTGACAGAACCTCAACGCTTAAACTCCTGCAGGCCTCACAACCCTCAGACTCTCGACTTGAGGATCCTCATGACATCGCGGATCTTTTTCTCAATGCCTTGGTGTCTGAGAGGCGAGAGCGGTCGAGACGTCCGGAAGGGTCACTTGCTCCTTAATTCTTGTTGTGTCGACGGAACAATGAAACTGCAGGTGACAAAATTTGCCAGATCATATCAGTGCTTTCATGTACTTTCTCAGGTATGACAACCTGAAGATCCATTATTTACTCCAACCTCCTAACGTCCCAAGAATCCAGAATCCTGAGTAGTATTTCCCATGCTCATCACAGACATTGACAAGGCTAAATTAATGAGCCTCGCAAATATGTGTGTCTTTCAAACTGTCTTTTATCGGTTCCAATAGTCCAATCCGATGCACCATCCCACATACACTAGCAAGGCAATCTTCCTCACAAGCTCCAACAATTGAGCTGTTGCATGCACATTTATCTGCCGTGATTCACAGATAAAAAGGATGGTCTCAGCTGCGTTTCACTCTCAACATCCTTGGTTTCTTGGAGGACATATCTAACTGTGCCACAACATAGTTCTTATTTTGCAGGGGGAGCAAGGCGGACTACATCAAATTCTGAGAGGGTGTTTCTGGGACTGGACATTGGCCACTGAGGCTTGGACGGCTATACCAAGAGGTTCACTTTGCCATCCCTCAATTCGAGGCCTTTGGGAGACCCGCCTCAGGTGTCTTTGTTATTTTGCACCACCAACGTCCCATGCCGAAGGACTCCACGAACTGCAGAGGTTTAGTTTGTTTGAAGGTATACAATTCCACAATTGACTCTGCAAGATCCACTCTGTACTGAACAAGCCTGTATTTCTGGCCTGTGACCTATATTATATGTCTATATGTTCTATGATGTTCTATGCACTGGTGCTTTGAGACCGTCGGTCCAGTCGGTGACAATCACACACTGTCAGCGAGGGACGATCTGAACGAGTTCTGAATCTGATCTCAGCCTTAATGACTCCAGAGGCGAATGATCCGAATGGTACCATTTTTCGGGAGGTGTTTCGAGTCTTGGCATACACGGTGAGCAGAGCAAGAGCCTAGCAACGTGCACAAGCTTTTGTAAAAAGGTTCAAACTCTAAGCCCTAAGCCAGCTAGTCTAGACTGGGGTTAAGACAGCAAGTGTGTTGGTAGTTGATTTGCCTGGCAATGCACACTCAGATGACAACCAACTAGCAAAATGTTCTGAATACAGCAGTAGCCTTTGGTTGACTCCTTACATCATGATAGACAACTTGAAATGCCGAATGGATCTTGGTGTTGGACGGGTTTGCACACGAATCAACTTGCAAAGCTTGCTTTTTCAAGTGTTTCCTCCCTGCATTTGGTCAGCCAAGGAAAGGGCAACGTGAAGTTCAAAGAGATTGAGATGTGATCAGCCTCGAGGAAGATTGGCTTTGGAATTCAGTTCTTTGGCAGCTCTCCTTGGTGTCTCATAATTCCACATGGAGATTTTGGAGACTTACTTGGGAATCAATTCCAGTAAATGATCTTGTTTTTTGATGTATTTTGTAGTTTCAGACTATCGGCCAGAATTCTTCAGCCAGTATATGTATATATATAGTCACAGCTTGTTTCTGAGGAACTTTTTTCTGAGCGTGGCCAATGAGCTTGAGCAATGCAGCACCGGTGGTGTTTTGAATACCCTTTGGACAATGCAAGTAATTTAAGCATGGTGTCTCTTGATAACCATTTGTCCAAACGCTCGAAACATACTCCGTCCTCCAGTCTTGTTGGCAAGCTTGTTTGTTGGTTCTTAAACGGTTGGCCTACTTTAGGCCCACCAAACGTTCATAATCATGTACCTCAATGGCCCTAAGGAAGACGACGCTACTAGGAGCAAAGGGCGTCGCTACTAGGAGCAAGGACGCTACTAGGGGCTCCTGGCCTTACTACTAGGAGCAAGGACGCTACTAGGAGCAAAGGGCATCGCTACTAGGAGCAAGGACGCTACTAGGGGCTTTTGAAGACATGGTTGTATCATGCCTTCAGTCGTCGTTTGACTCAATGACAGCCGGCGGTGCCGCACTTGCAACAAATCCGTCTCAAAATACTGGACACGGGGTGTCGGGTGTACCGCGACCACCTCATGTTCCCGCAAACGCGGGCAAATGTGTGCAAGAATTAACCATTAGTATATTGACTATATACTGTATTTTAAACTATTTAATCTGGCGCAGCCAAACAATTTTCTACTCAGATCATTTTGTCAAGCTACTGCGGTTATAGGAGCTTTAGCAGTTGACATTGCCATGGCGTTTGGTGTCAAAGGGTGTTGATTCCTGCACCAGGAGGTTGCACTTGAAAGTCCAGGTGCCAAGGCAGCCACAAAAGTGGACGCTCGAGGGATTCAATTGGCTGAAGTGTGTGACTCATGTTTGTTCAATTCTTCCACCATCATTGAGTGTTCGGAGGGCGCAAACCAATTCTTGAGGCGGCTTAGAAAGAAGCCAAAGCCTTTGCTGCGCTGGATGTCCAAGTATCATAGAATGTAGAGATGGAGCGCCTGGAGACACTGGCTCTTGCCCGTGAACTTGATTCAGGATAATTTGTTTATGAGTGTTGAATTATTGTGGCTGGCCAGTTTTGCTATCTCATCCTATGTGCATCCGCCAACCTGAGGCGGATTTTGGTGCTCAAAGCTCTTTTAACCCATTTGCCTCTTTTCCTTGTGACCAGCACAAGCAAAGCCATGTTGCTTGGCAGCTCTGCAACAGCCAGTGAGCTTGACATGAACTAAGAATGCACACAGTGTTGCTGAAGTTTGCATCGAGGAGTTCTGGGAAAAATAACATGTCATTATATAAAGTCTACAGTGCCCAGTTCTATTAGCTTCTTGTTACTACAAGTAACAAGAAGCTATTAGAATTAAAATCATAAACTAAATTAACTAATAGCTTCTTGTTACTTCTAGTAAGGCACTTGTTACTAGTAGCGTGGCACTTGTTTCTAATGGCTTCTTGTTACTACTAGTAAGGCACTTGTTACTAGTAGCGTGGCACTTGTTTCTAATAGCTTCTTGTTACTATATAAAGTCTACAGTGCCCAGTTCAATAAGGGTCCCTTGTTCAACAAAGCATGTTCCACCATTATTGTTGCAGTCCCAAAACAAAATTGGAGGGACCAGAGACAACTCGCAAAAGCTCGCTTTAAGCACGGTGACAGTATCTGGACTTTGGGTTTTGATTCCAACTTGATGCATTGAAGCACGTGGTCGACTCTCCCATATGTCCAGCCGATTTGTTCTTTGGGCTTTGCTGGGCTTCCGTGTGATAGCCAAGACCGCAATTCTTGCTCTTTTCAAGCCAAGGTTTCGTTCCCTGATGGTGGCCTTTTTGCTCCATGCAGTCTCAGCAGTGACATGGGTGAAGGGTGCCGGCGGAGCGAAACTTGGACTGTTTTGGCGCGAGAAACATGTCGCAACAAAAAGTCGTCACTGAACAGCTGGATCTACGGCAAATGTTTCAGGGCCTGCGAGAAGTCATAAAACCTGTTGAAATTCGCTCCCGAATGCCGGCACGAACCTTTGCTAAAAAGGTTTTGCTCTAGAAACTCTAGAGCCTTGTAATCATTTTGCTTCTTTAAGCTTCTCATGGAAACCGTCAAGCTACCACAACCCTGGTCTGACACAAACAGGAGAGAATCACAAAAGCCAGAGAAGCACTCCATTCATGTTCCAGGATCACCCTGCTGGTGATGGGCCTGACCTTTTTGTTTGACAACAATCAACTGGGCCGATTCCGCCACTATACATGTTTCATCCTTTCTCCTTGTTTCATATTGACATGCAACCATGTGCGACTTGCAATTGTCACTGATCGGACTGAGTAACCAAGAAGGATGGTTGCACAAGATCTGAGCTACCCTAGAATTTATAGTTATATAGATGATTTTGACAAATGTTGAACTCTTGGTGAGCACCCAGTTCTCCTACTAAAGAAATGTTGCAAGATGAAATCCCCTCATTTGATGTTTCAAAACCGTCAATGTTGCTGTACCGTTGCCTGGTCAGATCGGTTGGCCTCCAATGTCACACGTTCCTTCCAGAACACATTGCTTACTCTAAGTCAAGAGGAAGTCCAGAGGCTCCTCACTCTAAAATTGATTTTTTGTCGAAATGGTTCCTTTAAGATTTCCATTTTTGCTGATTGTTCTTTGCACAACAAATCTCCGCAACACACTGTGGCTGGTCTCCAGGGAGTTATATAGGTGCAAGATCTTCGGCCTTTCCTCATTTGTCCATGTTCTTTCATCTCAATTAAATTACATGCTTCAAATTCTCCCTTATTAGGAAGAAAAGGAGCTGAAAAGAAGTTGAGCCCCCTTTAAAGTGTTTATCCTTCTCCTTTGAGGAGTTGTGAGCACACCTGCGCTTCGCGGGATGGTTGCACCGAGGAGGTTTGGCCCAAAAGCGAGGCACTGGGGAAGGAAACACATCGGAGATTTCGAGCAGTTTCCGATGATGACCTGGAAATCCTGCCAAACACATTTGATGTCCTTCACTAGTTGCTAGTTAGTCGCTTCTTGTTGTTACTTCTCATATTTTGTCATCCCCTCAATTGGATCCCGGAGTGTATGGTTGTTGGAATCGCACCTTAGCTTAAGAATGGTTTGTCAGGGACTTTCTTGTTGGGTATGCGAAAGGACTGATATGTGGAGCAAGCGCCAATAGAGCTGGACCTTACATTAAACTGCAGGAGGAGTTCAAGGACATCGCCAAGCTCGCAGGTCAGGATTTGTCGTGACTTGTATCATATGTTGTACAGCAAAATGTGTTTGCCATTCAAAAGATTCTAATATATTTTATAAATAGTTATTTCTTTCATGTATACATATAGACATATGTGCGCTTCTGCCACCAGTGACTTGCAGTGGCTAGATTTGGGTTGAATGGGCGTTGATTGCAGCGTAGAGAACCAAGACACCCCGACAATCTTACATGGCCAAATGCAGCCAAGGTCCCCCTGTAATTTCTGAGAAGGAGTTCTGGTTATGCTTGACCAGACCCTGGCAGGTCAGGAGTGCGTGACCACCCAAGAAGGGGGCGCCAAGTATGATCCCAGCACAGACGGGCGGCATTGTGGTTGGAGCGGGCCAGACGGAAGCCGCTGCTCAGAAGCTGGGGACAGTGGCTAAGCTGGGCACATCAGTTTCAACGACCGTTTTATTGATGCATTGATATTATGTTTTTTGTTGCAAGCCGTGCGGTTCCAAGTGTGAGCACCCAGGAGTGAGGCTCATGTTTTCATTTTTTTTATTTTTTGCATCAATCTAAAACTTTATTCACCCAGGCGATTGCCATGTTAAAATCGTTGCTTCTAAGGTGGGACATACCGCTTTTGCCCGTGCAATTCTGACAAAGAGCTTTAAGATGAGCAGTTGTTTTTGAGGTACTTTGCACTCGCACCATGATCTTTGGTCGATGGTGAGTAATTGTTCAGGCAGGACTCACAGTCGCAGAAGCAGCGACCAGAATTCGTACCAAAAAAACCGAAGAGATCATAGGAGATCTTTTCCTCTCGACTGAGAAAAGAATCGGTGAAGATATTGGGTGGTAGGGCCAGAGGCAGGCAGCGGAGCATAGTTCGACTCACCACGTTTGACCATGCAAAACATATCCTGCTCTATTAGCGGGTCAAGAATCTGTAGCCTCAGCCTCCCAAAACCCAAGTAAGGTAACATGACCTAACTGTAAAACCTGTAGAACCCTGGGCCATATCTAATTCTTGACCCAAAACCACATGTACCTCGATATTCTGTACCAGTGGATGATATTTTTTGTACCAGTCAGCCAGCCAAACTGTGCAATTGTCATCACTCATAAACTTGGATTGTTCTATGAGGACATTGTGTCCAGATCATAGAGAGTGACAAGGCTACACATGTTGCTAGGTGACAGTACATTCTAGGTCTTCAGGATCATGTGGATTCCAGCAAAGCAGCGAAAGCACCTTGTCTTGGGCCTTTGATTGACAGCTACTGGAGCACAGCCCTCCCGCCTTTCCCTCCAAGATGTCAGCTTGTACAGTTTGTAAAGTAAGCCGCATGACATGCTATGTGAGATAGGCTTCCATTGACATATATTCAATCACTGTATTCAGGGATTGACAAGCACAACCAGCACCAGTCATGAGTTGAAGCAGGATTGGATTTCCATTTTTTGCCTTTTTGCAGACAGGCTTTTAGAAAATTTGATTTGGGGTCACTGCGCGATACGCTTTTCCTACGGAGACGCCTGCGCACGCCTGCTTCTCGCGCACGCCGCTACACCGCTTTTCTTTCACAAACACCGTGGAAGGTTCCGAGCTCAGTCACGAGACAGCTCTCTGAATGGCACTTCGATCAGACAATCAGACTTGGGTATTCTGACGGGTGACATGTAGAACTTGGGGTACCGCTGGGTACCACCGAATAGCCTACACCCCTCAAGCCTTTTGGTCTTTTAGGATCTTGTAGGTTGATTAATTGGTCGCGTTTGGCATCTTTGGTACATGCAATGCTGCAGCCACATCCGTGGCTTGCTTGGTGCCAGGGCGCTGATTCGGATAATCAAGAGTTATCCTTTGGTTTTGAATTCCTCGGTCGATTCATACTGCAGTTGTGGCATTAGCTTTTACTGCAAGTAGATCTATTTTTCTTGCAAGTTGATGCACATTCTCTTTGGGTCCAAGCTTTGGGATTCTCCGCTTTGGAGGTTCAATCGAAGCACTGCACCAGTTGAAAGGTCGCCCCGGGCAAATGTCCGGAATGAAGCTCCGCGGTCCTTCCATTGCGGCTTTCCTCCGGCAAGCAGAGGCAGAGTCCTCACTTTCAATCCCAAAAGTGTCCACGTGACAAGACTCCACTCATGGAAGGTGGACCAGGTCGTTGTATGCTATTGAAAGAACATGAGACACCACTCAAGTGTTATCTTTCTTTTGCCCATTGTGTTTCTGGAAATGGTTCAATTGTTATGTTGGCCTTGTGTTGAAAACCTGGAGTCCAGGAGGAAAATGGAAAGCGCAGCCAGCGCATGGGAAGCATTCGAATCTGTGACGAATGCTCAATCATGTTTCGTGCAAAAAAAGGAAACTCGCAAAGGTAAGAAAGAAGATGAAAGAATCATATGACATCCTATAACAAAGGTTGCAAATAGGGCTGGAAAATCAAGCGAGATGCTCGCTATTCGCTTACATCGAGGCAAATTTGGCCTTGCTCAGCGCGCAGCTGCAGGAATTCCTGGGTAAGAAGACACTTAAATAGATGGATTTGGGGGATGTGACTGCCAAAGCCTCAACTGTCGGATAAAGCTGCATGCTTCTAGCGTGAACAAGTGGCCCAAAGCAATTGACACATCAAGATACCACCATATACCACCTCAAGATCTAGGGCAGCTGGGTCATTTCGGTTTTGTTTGCATCCTTTCATATCCTTTCATACACGAACGTGCCGAGTTCTTGAGGTCGACTTCACCTGAACCACAAGCTCCACTCGGATACGAGTTCTTGTTGAGTTGGTGAATTGCCTTGCTGAGCAAATCGAAAGCTCCGCAGGATGGCCGTTTGGCAAAGCCTGCCCCAGGCATGCCGGGACTTGCTGGGTCGAGGAAGGAAATTGCAGATTGCATTGAGTTGAACGGTTTGTTGGGACGGCTTGTTTGTAAAAGATAAGGATCGTAAGGATGTTTGAAAACCCACTAAAAACCAAAAAAGCACCTCGAACTCGAACCATTAAATTGAGGCCGTCGTTTGCTTGCATTATTGCATTAATTAGTTGGCCCACAGCTTTTGCATCACATCCTCTCATTTATATTCTTATGTTACATTGATTGTCTAAGTTGAGTGGACAAAAAGTTTGCAGCGATTTAGGCCAACTACTTTTCCATGCTTGTTCAACCATAATATACTATAACTATATACTCCTTATTTCAGTTGAGGGTCCTCACTAGAAAGAGGCTGAAAGAAGCAAGAAACTTGAAAATGGCGACACTCAAAGGCCCCAAGGGCTTTTGTAATTATATACTCAAATCAAGTTCATGCCCGTTCAACTTCAAAAGGTGGGCGCGGACGCCGTTGTGCTGGAAGCTGAGAAAGCTACCAGTAGCAGGTGTAGCAGTAGTGAGTGAGAAGTGTTGTAATTACATCACATCCGTGAAGTGTTCTATGCTCCAAAAAGCAACTGTGTTTGAAATCCGAGCAACACAGTGCAAGGTGTCTCATGAAAACTATTCGGTACTCCTAAAGAGCCTTTCAGGCTTTCCAGTTGACATCCTTCACCACAAAGTCACCACTGGCTGAGATATCGAGAAAGCTGCTATATACTTTACTGTGGAGCTTAGACTTGTGCCAGGATCATGCAGGTGTTTTTCTTATCACCCCAAAAAGGCTCCCTTGACAGACCAAGTTCAGAAGGGTCTTTAGGCCTGCTGTGGCCAACACCCTTGTTCGAGCTGTTGGCATTGTACGTTTGTGCTTTTGTGGAAGAGGTATATGTTCTTGGCTGACAAAGGAGGCAACACATGCTAATATCCATTGACAGTTGACAAGATTAGAATACCAAAGAAACTTTGGAGTCAGCGGTCAACCACAACAGAGATTGTGTTGGATTAGTAATCAAGCCCGTTGTTGGAGAGAAAGATCCGACGTAGCAATGGTAAACCCCAAGCCTAAACTTAAACAATAAGATTCTTTGCTGTTCTATAATGTTCTATATAAGTCAATTTTGAGGCTCTGGAATGGATTAGCTGACAGCAAAGGGGAGATGATAGTATGCTGATGGCCTGAGGTTCCGCGTTCTCCTCCGGATCACTCTGAAGAGGACTGTTGTCAACATCCATCCTTGGTTTGTTCGACATTGTATATGTGCGCATCGTGTCACGAAGGAGGAGGCGGAGGAGACTGAGGCTGAGGTCTCCAGGGAGACATGTTTGAGTGTGAACGTCCTGATTGTCGGTTTCTTGTCTAGGACGCTTGAGCGGGTGAGTTCAACGGATACTCAGATCCAAACGGTTCCTTGTACATAGCTGTACTGACAGCAGCATTGCCTGTTGCTGCAGCTTCTTCCAGCTTTCTCAATGGAGAGGTCCCACAGCCTGTGCGCAGATGTGTTTGTTCTTTTTCTTGTGTGTGTGTGTCACATCAGTGCTTCATTTTGCTGAAATTGCATTTGGTTATATTTTGCTAAAGCATCCCCTAGCCTGCTGCCTCTCGCTGGCAACATGTTTAAGCACAACCTGTCAATTTAATTGTGTGGACAGTTTGCATCAGTTAGAGGCCCAGGAATGTCACTCAGTAGAACCTAAAGAGCTATATTATACGTATGTAACTTATAGTCTATAGTGTTAGACTTATATATATATTCTATAGTCGTATAGTTAGAGCGGTTCCTTGAGGTGATCCCTGAAGTGTTGACTTTCTTCGTGATTCCACTTGGACAGCTTTGCTTCCACATCAGCAAATGAACGCAATTGCAGCATTGATTGAACAATGCCCAATCGACAGGTGCAGGATCAGCTGACAGTGCAAGCACGTACCATGTTGAGTGCGGAGATCCAGCGGAACATCCTGCATTAAAATTCGGAACTTGATTGAGTCGACTGAAATTCACAGTGTGAGCTTGCTGTTTCTTGAAAATGTTTGCTAAATGATTTGAGAATGTCGGATGAAGGCCCTTACATGTTTTTTTTAGCACTTGATTGTTTTTCCCCATTTCGGATGGAACATATTCGACTCTGCGAATTTCAGCAAACTAGTCCGGATCTCCATCCACTGGCCAAAGAAGACCAAAGCAAGAAAGGAACAAAGTTTTAAAGCTGTGAAATGAGGAGCTTAATTACAAGACGCCTCTCAACCTTGTGTGGATCCTTCGAGGCTTCGAAAGAAGATTGAAGGCTTTGGAGAGTGGCAGTTGGAGCCCAAAGGGGAAGATGAGGAAGGACATCAATCACAATCCTTTGATGACCTTGTATTGAAGCGAGCTGCCTGGCAAAGTGTTGCTAATGCTAAGTCACAATACATTCAAGAGTTGTCACCATGTTCTTCAAGACTGAAGCCTGACACAAGCATCACCAATGAGTACAAGAGGAACCAGAGGACTTACGATGATGTGACCTGCCCAGCACTCACGTGTTACAAAAAGCTCACTTTACCACTGGCCGTGAGCCAAAGATTTCAGGTTTGGTTGAAGTGAAGTTTTAAAATAGATCTCCATATAGATATATATATATATAATGCAGCTTGATTTGGCTCCGTCCGATAGCCCGCTCGGCTAGCAACGTAGCTGGGGCGTAGCCCAACTGGAATGGCGATGAGGCACGATCGACGGAACCCTTTAAGCTCGTTTGCAGGTGCTCGACAGAAATGACAAGGGAGAGGCATGAAAAGACAAACAATCAGGAAGAAAAGAAAACAAAAAAAAATACAATGAAGAGAGAAAGAAAAGAAAGGAAGAAAGACAGATCCGATAGGCTGGGCTGAATTTAGTTTCTGCAAACGAAGTGGATTTTTACTGCGCAGGAAGACAGAACGTACAAATTGTGACCCAATCGAATGA